TTGCTTGAAGAGAGGTGTTTAAGGGAATCGTCTTCGCATGTACATCATTTCTCACAATCACAAGTACTCCGCCATGACTTCTCTGGCCAGGCTCTAGCGCTAAATCGTTTCGGAATATTTGGTAGTTTTTCATAATAAATCTTTCTCCACTTTGTAATTTGCTTTCTTGTATGGCAACTATGATAGGTTCTATATCTCCAACCATCTGCCTTATTTCGTCGTACTTATTTTTAATCCCTCTTGCGTTCCATTGCAAAATCTTTTCTGTAGCCATTTTAAAGTATTTAAGTATAGGAATATATCTAAATAAGTTATTAGATTGTCAAAATAGACGAAATATACATACATTGATTAGACGCACAGATAAAATAATATATAAAATATAGGTATAATATGTAAATAAATTATAATTACGAATAGATTATCACAGTATATCGTTGTATCACAGTACTATTTCTCTGGTTATACGTTAATTACTTTGGCTTGATTTCCTTTTGTAGCGGTCTGGGTTATAGCTAGTGACTGCCGGGTCCTTGCTTTGGCTTATTCTTGGTACACCTTTAGGGTATCCCCTAGGTTTTTTTTTCTGTCCATCGGGGGGATCGGTTTTCTTTTTATCGCTTTCCGAATGTCCATCGGCGTCGGATATGGATTCTGTTTCAGGGTCGGTTTCGGTCTGATTATACGACCAGTCAGAGAGGTTGCATTTGTAGGTATTCTCGTCTTGCTTGATATTGCTATTCGATGCAGTGGGTGGTGTTTGTGGAGTTTTGAAAGGTGTGCGACTTGCAGGACCATCTAGGTTACCTAGTGTCGTCTTAACCAGGTCATTTAAATTTGTATTTGTTTTTATAATGTTCTTTGTGCGATCCGCAAATGTTTCTGACGGTACCACGTATGACTTACCGTAGACCATTACTCTTGCTTCTCGGAAGTTAATATTTTTCTGGGTGGCCTGTACTCTCATCACCTCTTTTTCCTTTACGTACGTTGGGCAGTTGACGTAGTTTGATTTATGTGGTCCTCCACAATTTGTACACTTTGGTGGGTCGGAGCACGGTTCGCTTTCCGCATGCTGCTCCTTTCCACAACTGCAGGTTGGGACGTTTCTACAGAACTTTGTTAGATGACCGAATTTTTGGCATCTAAAACATTTCCTAGGAGCACCAATATATGGCCGTACCTGTAGTTTGAGGTACGCCGCTTTAATAGTCGTGGGGAGTGTTTTTATTATTATTATTATTATTATTATTGTTATTAGATAACACTTTACAATCCAGATGACTTAAATGATTCTGACTGTCAAGGAAATTGCCACGATGGGAGCACAAATTGCAAAAGAAACGTAGAGAAAATTTGTTTCATTTAATCTCGTGAATAAATACATTCTAACACTTCCCCCAAATTTGTCTCCAATTATTTAAATTATTAGAATTTCTAAAATTCAAATATTTGCTTTTGCATTCAGGAAACCTTTTGATATTATATTTTACGATTGTATATTATTTGCATGTAGGATTATGCACGTAAATATGATAATCGCCCACTTTGTTTTATTCCTCATCATCTTCAATTCAAATACGTTCTCGAGAGTCTCGAAGTTTTACTTTATTTTCTCATAAAGAAAAGCTCTCATAAATCAAAGCCGTGGCATTTGGAATTTAATTATAAATGTGCCTATATATATTTGAAATGAGAAGAGAATAATAAATAAGACAATAATAATACTCTTGCAATGAGACGAGCCTGGAGGTACAGGAACTCCACTGAATACAAAAGTTAGCTATGAAATAACACGCTTCAAAGAATATATGGTTCGTGAGGAGAACGAGAAAATCCTGACCAATAGCTGTATTGTACTATTTCAGGTCGCAGGAAATATTCATATATATTTGTCAAGTTATCACGACATAAGGCATAAATACGCGTGTGATGGTGAAACATAAATTACCAATTCCACGTTGTAAAGAAGTAACTTTTTTCGGTTTGATAAATTTGGTGTTATTCCTTTTCATAGAACAAATGAAGTGTCTGGTACAAAATAAGAGAGCATTTGTCAGAGATGTGAAAGTAAACAAAAATTAATGCGGCGTTATTTATGAAAGAATAATGCTGCGTTATAACAAGAAAATTACTTTTCTAATGCAGTAATGGACGAAATAACGGTTCGCATTTTTATAAAGAATGCAGAGATTTTTCCCTTTTTTTTAGGAATTTTTATTTTACTAACGAAGATGGATGACAATAATATTTTCGTTCTAATAGCAATTTTGCTAATTAATTAGTGCATTCCTGGTGAAAGCGTACTGTTTGCATTTATTATCCAGTACTGGCAGAACAACACATTCAAAGAACAATTAACCACACTTGCGAAGCCCATTTATTTCTGTTGCGAGATTTCTATTGGTTTGAAATTATTATCCACGAAAACTGTCCGATGTGTGTACACACAATTACATCAAAGTAGCACTAGGAGCCCCTCCAGGACGAGATCTGATCTCTGATCCTAGTGCCACCGAGAGTTAACCCTGGACTGTAATAAAGGAAAATTCGATCCTTACGTCAAAATTGTAAACCTGTGGGAGGGGGGCGGGGGTGGTAAAGTTCAAAATGCGAGAATATATGTTGAGAACGGAACGTCGGAAAACAGTACTCACAAAGGAACGATAAAAAGTTATTTGAAGATGGTGTTGGTTGATAATTTGAAAGTTTTCGAAAGAACTTCGAAAGCTCTGGTAACTGGTTCGAGCTAAACCTTTTTTCTTCTACTAATGTAGGTGTACATTTTACATTTTACGCAATACGCAGAACAAATTTGAAAATTAGGGTGACAAGCGAAGGCAGATTTTAGCATTGGAAATGCTTATGTTTTGTATGGGTATGAATTTACCAGGGTTGCCGAGTAGAAAAGAAGACAATTGGTGTCGCGTCTAGTGTTGATTGTACCGTACTCGACTACAATCGGTAGATTTAGGAAAAGTCGCGGATACTCTCGATACGGTACTTACTTACCTAACAGTCCGTAGGGGTTTTGTTAATTCGAATTGAAAATTCTCGCACATCGCCCGTGATAGTATTACAAGCATGTTACGCCGCTTAATATTCAGAAAATTTACGTTTGCGACACGAGCGAGCTTGCGAGCGAGTGAAGCAAGATTATTCCGTGTGAATAAGGGTTATTTACGGCTTTATAGGTTATACGATTATCATTTCCAATTCTCCGATGGTTGCAAGGATTGCGAAATCTGTGAATTTTTTTTGAAAACTAACTAATTTTATACATAAAAAAATGACACAGAAGTCGTAAATTGGAACAAGCTAAATTTGTAAAGGTGCACAATGCGTCTGAAATGACCACAAAAATAAGAATAATACTAACTAGCAGTTCTAAAATTGAAAAACGTATAAAACTTATTCTAACTTGACAGCGTAAAACCGACAGCCTCTAAATTAACGACATAACCGCCGGCCTTGAAAAACACCCTTGAAAAACTGTGATCTTCAACAGAGTAACATAGCGTAAAGAACACAATATTCTGTTCACGACAAAACAAAAAAAAATTGCTGTGGCTAGCACAGATACCACCCACACACCTGCGCATGCGCGATTCTGCCTTTTATGTCTAAGAGTACCAAATTTGGTTCCAAACGGTTCAGTCATTTATCCGGAAATGAGAGTTTGACGCATTTGAGCATGCGCGATTCTGTCCAAAAACGTTGCTTTGGGAGATAATCAATTTCCATTTTATAACCTTGCTGGCCTTAAATTTAGAGGGTCCTGCTATCAGGAAAATATGGTTTTTTGCGCATTTGATTTTGTAGAAAATATAAAAATGTAACCCCCAAAAATTAACGGGCAGGGACAAGTCGCCGTCGCCGACTGGCCGTTGGCAACTCGCCGTCGGGCAATCTCGCCATCGGTCAACTTGCCGTCGGTTAACTCGCCGTCACCAGAAACAAAATAAAGATTATTTTTTTAAAATATTTAAATCTAACACTTAGATGTCTATAACTGCAATCAGTTTAGTCATATAATATTATTTAGCAATCTCGTTTCATCATTGGAATGCTGTAGTTATTTGCAGTGTTGTGTAAGATCCTTTAATTCTGGATCTAGATAGAGATCCAGATACATTTAAAAATCATGATTTGATCCAGATCCAAGAGCCCCCCAAAACGATCTAAATCCTTTTATCGTATGCAAAATAGTAAGAAAAATTGTACCTAAACCGTTGTGAAAAAGACCTTCCTTGAAAATTAATAACCGCCTACACCCTTTTAAGAATTCACAACAGTTGTAAATTATAATTGCACTTCGGTTTTCGTGCTTGGACATCAAAGTATGTTATCCTTTCTTTCTTCTAATGCTGACAGACTAATCCTTTACCTGTACCCGTCGTAAAATACACGGATTGATTGATTGATAGTGATATTTCGGAATATCTTAGGGGGTTAGCCCATAATTATGAAATGTAAATGTATAATGTATAACCAAAAATATTTTTGTAATTTTAGAGTGTTTTGTTTGATAAGAACAAACTGATTGCACTTACAAACATTTAGTAGTATTTTTTATTATTTATTCTGCTAACAGCGACTTGACCGACGGCGAGTTTGGCCGACGGCGAGTTTGTTCGACGGCGGGTCGGCGACGGCGAATCGCCAACGGGCAGTCGGCGACGGCGAGTTGTCCTAGAC